CCACAAGACTCAGGCATTTCCACTCTTAAAAGATGCTGTTTACGGGTGTGGCCTACACCCTGTCACATCTCCTCACCACCCTGGAGGCAGGGAGCTCCCCGTCCTGTGCATCTAGGGGTGCTGCTCTCGGGGCAGTCTGAAGCACTCTTGTTTCCCAATCATTTTCACATCATACCCTTTTGGGGTTAGAATTTTGGCTCAAACACCAACAGACTTTGTGACCCTGGGCGAGTCGTTTCGCTTACTCGAGTGTCAGCTGCCTCACTTATGTTCATCTCATCGATAGGTATTTATGGTGACTGTAATAGCAGGAACCATTCTAGATTTGGAATTCAGAGTCAGCTATTTCTCTAATGGGCAGAAATCCAGAAGACGTTCATACAATTTAGTAACCGGTGTATGACCTCAGCACTCTTTGCAGTGGTTCTAATGTATTATTATGCTCACATATGAGGGCTCAAAAAAAAGATGACCAATCTGCTTATGCTACAAAGCTGTAGTAATCAAAACGCCATGGTACTAGCACAAAAATAGACACGTAGATCAATAAAACAGAACAGGGAGTCCAGAAATAAACTCATACTTGTACAGTCAATCTCCAACAAAGAAGGTGAGAATATAAGTAGGGAAAAGACAGTCTCTTCCATAAATGGGAAAACTGGACAGCTACATGCAAAAGAATGAAACTGGTCCACCACTCTCTCATGCCATATACAAAAGTACACTCAAGATATCAGATACCTAACTGTGAATAAATAACCCAATTAAAAATGGGCAGAGGACCTGAATAGACAACTTTCCAAAGAAGACCTACAGATGGCCAACAGTCAGATGAAAAGGTGTTCAGTATCACGAGTCATCAGGGAAATGCAAATCCGAGCCACAGTGGGAGATCTCCTCACACGTCCGAACGGCTAGACTCAAAAAGACAAGAAGTAACCAGTGCTGCTGAGGGTATGGAGAAAAAGGAACCCTCGTGCACTATTGATGGTGATGCAAACTGGTGCAGCCTCTGTGGAAAATAGTCCTGGACGCCCCTCAAAAAATTAAAAATAGAAATACCGTAGGATCCAGTAATCCCACTGCTGGGTATTTACCCAAAGAAAATAAAAACACTAATTTGAAAAGATATATGCACCCCTGTGTGTGTGTGTATGTGTGTACATACATACATAGACACATACAGGCATAATGGAATATTACTCAGGCATGAAAAGGATGAGAGCTTGCCATTTAAAACATGGATGAACCTAGGGGATGTGATCCTAACTAAAGTAAATTAGACAGAGAAAAGCAAATACTATATGATTTCCCTTCCATGGGAAATTTAAAATACAAAACAAACAAACAAAGAGCAGGAAAAGACCCTTAAATACAGGGACCCAACCAGTGCTGGTCCCAGAGGAGAGGGGATGGGTGGCGGGCACAGTGGACGAAGGGAAGTGGGAAGCACAGGCTTCCAGTTAGGGAATGAAGAGGTCACGGGAATGAAAGGTCAGCAGCGCAGGAAGCATCATCAAGGGTATTGTGATGGTGTTCGTGGTGACAGACGGTAGCTACACTTGTGGTGAGCACAGCACGACACGGAGAGGTGGAATCACTCTGTTGCACCCCTGAGACCGAGGCAACCCTGGGTGTCAGCTGTACTTCAATAAAAACATCAAAATGGGGGCACCTGTGTGGCTCAGTCAGGTAAGCATCCAGCTCTTGATATTGGCTCAGGCCGTGATCTCAGGGTTGTGAGTTCAAGCCCCACACTGGGCTCCACACTGGCCGTGGAGCCACTTAAAAAAGAATCAAATAAAAAATGCTCATTCTGCTGAGACACCACCTAACTTTATCATGTCAGGGCCAGCCACCAGGGTTCTAACTCCAAGAAAAGTTGATAAGCCTCTTGAGAGAAACAGTGACTGCACGTGAAAGGTACCAAAACTTTTGAGTTGGGAGGACAGTCTCTCCCTGGCCCCTTGGGATGTGCTTTGGGTGGCAAGGAGGTCATCTGGAGGCAGGAAAGACCAGCCTGGCACCCGACTGGATTATTAATGGGGCGGACACCTTTGGGTGTAAGCCTGTGCCGTTCCTCCCAAATGTCTTCTGACTTGTCTGAGGGTTTAAGAGCTAAAATCTAAAGAGAAACTGAGAAAGTGATGGAGTTGTGATTTGAGGGTGCTATAAAACTACCATACAGGGAGTCTGGTAAGAATCGTTTCAGGATTTATTGTCAGGCACCGTACTAGGCTGTGTGCACAAGAGAGTGCGGAAGACAGACATGATTCTGTATCTATCTGTATCTGTCCATATCTATTTTTGAAAATGTGAAAAGAACCACAAAAGGAAAAAACAAAACACAATCTCATGAAAGAATAGTAACTGGGAAGATCTCATTTAGATGGAGTGCCCCGTGAAAACCTCTTTGAGGAAGTGATGTTTGGTTTAGAACTGAAGGATTCTGGGAGCTGGCCATGTAAAGGTAGGGCTGGGGCAAAGAACATTCCGGCCAATGGCAGCGTCTCGTGCAAAGGCCCTGAGGTGGGCGAGAACTTGCCACATTTGGTGAGTGGAAAGGCCCGTGTGACGGCAGCATGGCACGAGAGGAAGAGCAGAGAGTTGCTGAGTAAGGAAGAGCCCAGATAATGAGGGGTTTGGAGGTCACACCAAAGATTTCAGATTTTACTCTCAATGGCCTGGAAACGGATCGGTGGTGACTGAAGGAGTGCCAGGGCTGGGCTCAGAGAAAGGTGGGGAGGGCGCTGTCCTGCTACGCCTCCCCCATCAGCACCGGCAGTGTCGTCCGATGGTGGCCGCTCAGCTCCATGAGTGAGGTTGCGGAGGGACCTTCATTCCCACCAGGGCCCTGTTTCTGACCTCAGACTCTCCTGTGTTTGGCAGTTCAGCCAACATGGGTTTGTTTTCACCCAGTGGTAGTGAACGAGGTAGACATGCTGTGCCACATGTAATTTGTTAATACTCAGCGTTATCCCTGCCTTTTTATCCTCTTCCCGGTCCCCAGGGAAGAGTTAGCTTCTGGCTCCCTCCGGCGCTACTCTGCGTGGCTCCTGAGTCACATCTAGCGCTCCAGGCCATGGTCCACTGAAGCCGCTCCCGTGCTAAAACACGGGAGGGACGGAAAGAAAGAGGAGCCCCTTCTCCTGCCTCTTCTGTTCTTTTAACCTCCATACGGCTAACATGCTAAGATGGGGAAAGATCACAGGAATTCTTTTACTAAAGGGACCGGGCAGTTTCTGAAGGGAATTACAATGGCAGAGGAACCCGCATTAAAGATAATTTGAATTTCATCTAATGAGGCCAGATACCTAAAAAAATTCTAGCAGCTTATACAAGGAGTGTTCTCTGATTTGGTCCTGCTCTTAAATTTGCTCCTAAGCCTCACCCACATCCCATTAAATCTCTAGGACCGGCAATCCCAGCCCTTATCTGAAAGAAATCACCAGTTCTGAATCATTCTCCCCATCCATCCTCAAGGAACGCTGGTTCGGGAGTCAGAGATGCCGCCAGCACAGGTAGAGGGATGAGGTGAGAAAGAGAGACATTCCTCATTTGGAGTTTTCTACACGTGGGAGCTACCAGCCTGCTGGCCCTTTGATTTATTTATTCAGTGGATTTTTTGAGGTTTATTTATTTGTAGTAATCTCTACACGCAACGTGGGGCTCAGACTCATGACCCGAGATCAAGAGTCGCACGCTCCGATGACTGAGCCAGGCAGGTGGCCCTTCACTGCATCTTTCACGGCAAATACATGGGTTTCCTCACCCCCAGCCATCACAGAGCTACGATCTTACTGGAAAAGGTTATTCCTGCTGATGAACAAGGTTCTGGTAATACCCCAAACTGTGACAAGTCCCTGTTATTGTCTCTCTCTCTCTCTTTTTTAAGATTTTATTTATTTATTTATTTGACAGAGAGATCATGGTAGACAGAGAGTCAGGCAGAGAGAGAGCGGGGGAAGCAGTCTCCCTGCTGAGCAGAGAGCCCAATGCGGGACTCGATCCCAGGACCCTGAGATCATGACCTGAGCCGAAGACAGCAGCTTAACCCACTGAGCCACCCAGGCACCCCCTGTTATTGTCTCTTACGGTGTTTATTTCTCCATGACTTAGCCAACATATGACATTTGGTGACATTATCGAAGAGGAATTACCGCTGTTTAGAGACTGCTCTCTGTCTCCGTTTCTGTTCAGAGTCTCCCCAGGATCTGAGGACACTGATGGGTTGGGGGAGATATTTATGATTCTGATTCCTCCTATGGGATTATATCAAGAAACAGGGCAGGGGGAGATGTGAAATATAACATCATTCTTACCGAAGAATGCTCGAAGCTTTTGTGAGAGTTTGAGAGAGAAAAGCGGGGAGGATCTTAGCCTGAAACAGATGGGTCCATCAGTCCACTGGTGAAACCTCTGAGTTCCTAGTTGTTGGGCATTCCCTTGTCCTGTTTCCTGCCACCTGCCTCCCCTCTGCACCTTGATTTACCCTCCGTGGAAGGCCGACACGTAGGTCACGTCTACAGATGGTTTGCATGCGGGGAGATTTGCTACACTTAGCAGAACAGTGAGGGCAACGTTTGCTGAGAGCTTACTTTGATTCTAAGCACTATTTTAAGTGTATCAGGTGCTTTGACCAGTGCTCACAGTGCCTGTGGAATCCGATTGGGTCCATTGGGTTCTGATTGGGTCCATTGTGGCTCCGAGGAGGGGCAGTGGCCTGTCTAGCTCACACAGCTTGTAAGTGGAAGAACTGGGATCTGCCCCTGGCAGTTTACCCCCAGAACCACAAATCCCTAAGCATCGTGCAACGCTCTCTCTCCACCCATCCCCCATGTGGTGTGTTTTTTCACTCATCTGAATCTGCCACTGTCAGTAAAATTTTTCTAGTATAAAAAAGATGATCCTACACAATTTTTGTCAGAGTTGTCTCAGGGTACTTTCAAGGTTTTTTTTTGGTTTTGGTCCTTTTTTTTTTTTTTTTTTTTTTTGGTTGTCTGTATGGTAGAATTCTTAACTTATACATTCTGATGATTACTTCTGGACTTGAAACTTGCCATTTTTCACAACTATGAGTAAACGCATGTGTGACTTCAAAAGCACATTAGCTCTGCCCACCTCGAAAAGAGAGTGAGACGCTCGTGCAGTTGTTCTGCTCCCAACTGTCACGCTGTCTCCAGAGCGCAGAGTGGGATGTGGGCAGAAGTGTCTGGAGAGGAGGCAGTGCTGGCTGTTGGACTCTAACGGGAAGGAGCCCTGTGTGTCCCGCTAGGGAATTTGGTTTCAAACCTTCCAGCACAAGGTGTTAGGTGAGAAGGCGAGATCTCTGAGTGTGTTTTTATCGGCGTGGTTCTTGCGTCATTCTGCGGGGTGATTTGTGCTCGGGAAGGCTGGTGGGGGGAGCAGTTGGGGTGTCACTGAACTACGGCAGGTGACAGCTAGTCGACGTCTGACCTAAGACAATAACAGGAAAAATAGAAATGGTGAGAGCGTGCTGATGTGAGAAACAGGCGCGGGGAAAATCAACCGGCTGGGTTCAGATGCTGCGGGAGAGAAAAACAGAGGACTTGAAGTCGTCACCACAAAGACTGACGTCAAGTGAAACAGGTAGTATGGGAGGGGGCAGGTGGAAAGAGTGTGGCAGGGAACTAAATCTGGTGTTGCCTTGGCAGAGATGGAGAGCCAGAATGGTAGGTGCAGAAATGCCCCAGCATGATGGAAAGGCTAATGAGATCTGAACAGTGGCGTTCTCCGGTGAAATGGAAAAGCGGCTTTTATGAGCGGTTGTGGGTTCGTTTGGGAGCGTGTTTAGGACTGCAGCCAAGCATCTGGGAGTCACGGGCACATAAGTAGTACTCAAAGCCAGAGAAAAGGGTGAGGGCTGTCCAGATAGGGTTCCCATCTTTAGTAAAAGACAAATAGGACAATCAGTTAAATGTGAACGTTGGAAAAACGATAAATAACTTTTTAGTGTATCCCATATAACGTTTAGGATATACTTATCCTAAAAATGATTTATTATTATTTTTTATCCTAAAAAGGATTCACATTTCTTTATGTGAAATTCAAATTTGGGCACCATTTATTACACATGACAACCGTATCACAGGCTGCAAACGAAGGCCTGCGGGGACTGATGGCCATTGCCCGGCCAGGGGGCCAGGGGCCCAGTGATGCACAGGGAGCGTGGGCGGGCCAGCGGGAGACCTGTGGCAGCCCCGGGGGACTGGGTTCGGCTGACCCCTGGGGTATCCGGTATGCTAAGGTTTCAAAACATACTAAAATACATATATATATATATATTTTAGTGCAGACTATCCCAATTTTAAAAGGGACCACAGTGAAGAGAAAAAACATAGTGAGGTCTATGGGTTCCACAAGGCATTTCAGCCACTGGTTTGCAGCCTCTGATCCAATCCCCAGAGAGGGGGTGGGGCAGATTTTACCCCACACGTTATAGTGCTTTGCTGTGTGAGGGTAAATAGTACTAAGGTGTGGGGAAAGGATGGCAGCAAGGGGTCGATTCCCTGAGCAAAAGGTAAGATGTGGGCAGGTCTCCACTGTCTTCCACCCCACAGTCTCGCCCCCTGGGGCCTGGACACCCCCCCTCCCGGCCGCTGGCAGGTGGACAGAGCCCACAGGCCTGCGCCCATGCCACCAGCCCTCATGGGGCCTGAGAAAGACCAGGCTCTCCTGTGGCAGGCGGCGGGGACTCTGCGTGGGGCCCTGCAGGCGTCACCAGAGAACTGTGGGCGGAAACTTCCCGAGGTTTGCTCTGCCTCTGGTTGAGGCTTCTCAGCTTCAGATGCAAAGTCAGTGGGTGTCTCTGAGAAAGACAGAGGAGGAAAGAGAGCGACAGAGAGGTGTTCCCCGGGGTTCTGGAAACTATAAAGAGAGAGCGGGCTCTCCTGCTCTCCAGCAGACAGCCGCGCCGGCCCGGCCTGGACACCTGCGCTGGGGGCCAGCCCGACCCACTGCCATGCAGCAGCCCCTGGATTACCCCCTGTACCCCCACATCTGCTGGGTGGACGGCAGCGCCAGCTCCCCCTGGGCGCCTCCGGGCTCCGTCCTCCCGTGTCCGTCCTCTGTGCCCGGGAGGCCTGGGCCGAGGAGGCCGCCGCCACCACCGCCACCGCTGCCACCATCGCCGCCCCTGCCGCCGGTGCCCCTGCCGCCTCTGAAGACGCCGAGGGACCACAACACAGGCCTGTGTCTCCTTGTGATGTTTTTCATGGTGCTGGTGGCCCTGGTTGGCCTGGGGCTGGGGCTGTTTCAGCTCTTCCACATGCAGAAGGAGCTGGCGGAGCTCAGAGAGGTAAGCCCTTGTGGGGATTGCTGTGCACTGGAGATGCGGTGTAGACGGCTAAGCTGTAGCGGAGGGGTGGGGGGGGGTCGTGGGGGAGGGGGACACCGAGGCCCAGAGGGACCGTGGCCTTGCTTGCAAAGTCTTTTCTAGTCCTTTCTCTTCCTGTCTTCGAAATGGGTCATTCTAGTCGTTCTATCTCAGAGGCCGAGGCTCAAGTGAGTGAAAGGGATATTTGCTCTCTTGGAAAGGATCAGGGCCAAAATAGGACTGGTGGGGACTGTCCCTCCTTTCACAGCTGGCAAGGCCGCTGGCTGAACCTCTACCTAGAGGTTCGTGATTCAGGAAAGAAAAAGAATTTGGAGTCTTGCTCGGAAGTGAATTTGTTTAAATGACCCAACTAAATTTCCTTGGAAATACTTAAAAATGTTAGAACTATTCCAAATTGCAAAACCCGGGTGTGGTGAGACGGGATGGCATGGCCAGAGTCCGAGTTAGGAGAGGCTCTGAGGTATGGAGATGCCCTTCTCAGGTTTATTCTGTTTACTTGACGGTTTTGCCTCCGCTATCTTAAAGAACTTCATATTTACGATGCATCTTTTCCCTCTCTGTTGCCAGTCCACCAGCAAAAGTCATACAGCATCGTCTTTGGAGAAGCTAATAGGTGAGTCATTTTACAGATGTGTATTGAGTCTCTAAAGACAGTCCTCATTGCTGAACCACGTGGGGCAGATGCCTTCAATTCCATCCCACTCTCGGATACATTATACTACAAAAGGAATCCTGGCTAATTCAGAATCATTGCTCATTTTGGTTCCTTGAGCTGCCCTAACATATGACGTACATGTAATCATTCAAAATCAGTAAAACTGAGTACTGCCCACAATTCAAGTAATTTCCATTCGGCTTTGGAAAGAGACAACACAGATACAGCTGGTTCCATTCCTGTCACCTTCACAGGCCTCCTGGTTTCTGTGAACAGGGCAGTGGCTGTGGCTCCCAGGGAGATGTAGAGAGGAGCAGGCAGAGACAGATGTTTCTGGGAAAAGTCGTCTCCTCTTCAGACTCTCTAAGAGATAACTCAAGAGCCAAGCTTTATTTAAAGAAAAAAATTCTAGGATGTATTTAAGCTTTTAATTATTTATTTATTTAGAGGGGAGGGGTGGAGGGAGAAGGAGAGAGAGACTCTGCAGAGCACTGACGCAGGGCTCCATCTCACGACCCTGAGAGAGATCATGACCGGAGCTGAAATGAAGAACCGGATGCTTAACTGACTGAGCCACCCAAGCACTCCTTAAGCGTTTAAAAAGTATGCAATTAACCATCCACATTAAAGTTGTTCTTTTGCATTCCCTGGCAGTCTTGAGGGGGAAACCTTAGCCATTTTTCAAGGGCTAGTCCAGCTTCCCCCACAAAGGCAATCATGAGGTACCTTCAATAAAAGAAAGGTCTCTGTTGAGATTCAGGACAAGGGAAAAGATGAAAATGTTGAACACTGACCTTGTGTGAAGTTTCAGGACACCTTTTGGAAACATGTGCAGGTAGATTTAGCATGCTCTGGTTTATTCAACTGAGATCGACCGAACTTTGGATTCGGTAAGAGTTGGACGGGAGCTTGGAGCAAATCTGGTCCAGCCATCTCACTTTTCGGAAGAGAATTAGGGATATGCCCCAAATCGCTGGTGTGGAACTGGGGCTAGGAGGAACACGGGCTCTTGGTGCTTTGTCGCCGACAGAGCTTTCCAGCACATAGACTAGTGCTCTGTGAAATAGGGAAACTTCTGTCTGTGATGGCCATGGAAGGAGAAATAAAGATGAGAAGCAAGACGCCTCTGCAAAGACAATAGGTAAATCTTGGGAGGAAAATGGAAGGCAGCACTGGCCATCCAAGGAGGGGAGCCGATTCCAATTTCTCTTATGTGCCTATTGTAGGTGACCCAAGTCACCCTACTGCTCCAGAATGTGGGCTCTGGAGGACCCATCCTGTGGACACTCTGGTCTTTGATTCTAGGTCTAAGTCCCTAAGTGTTAGAAAGTCCTGATTTATTCAAGCAGAGTAGAAATATTTGTTAGAAAAATAAAACCTTTGGAGGATTTCTAAAATAAAACAGCTTTGAAAATCAGTGGAATGTGGCTGGTGAAACAGGTGCCTAATTACTCATCTCTCCGCCACTCTCTAGGATCATTTTAGTGATTAAAAGTCAAGTGCACAGATGACCCAGGTCTGTCTCTTCCAGTAAAAAGCGTCTTGTCATCCACGCAGATGGACCAGAGGTTGGGCAATTTCACCATGGAGAACGAAGTAGCCACTTTATTAATAGGAAAAGAGATGCAAATCAAACAAGGGTATATCCATTTTCATTCATCCCATTAGTAAAAATTAGAAAAAAAAAAACCAGATTGGCAAAAATGTGAGAAAAAATTTTGCTTAAGCATTACTTCACAGCCAGGGAACATGTAAATTGCTATACTTGTTCTGAAGACCAGTTGGAAAAATGTACCAAAGGATTAAAAATGTTAATTTACTGGGCACCTGAGTGGCTCAGTCAGTTAAGCTTCTGCCTTCAGCTCAGGTCATGATCCCAGGGTTCTGGGATCGAGCCCCGCATCAGGCTCTCCGCTCAGCCAAGAGCCTGGTTCTCCCTCTCCCTCTGCCTTCTGCTCCCCCTGCTTGTGCTCACATGCTCTCCTCTCTCTCTCTGTCAAATAAATAAACAAAATCTTCTTTTTAAAAAAGTGTTCATTTACCATGTAATCTCATCACTAAGAATTTATCTTAATAAGATAATCAGAGATATACCCCAAAACTCATAGATAATTATGTTCATCATTACCTTATAAGCCTATTTGTAATAAATAAGTCAGAAGAAACTTAAATGCCTCTTAATAGGAAATTAAATACGTCATGGTATATTCAGAGGGCCTCCTACGCAGCGACTGAAATCCATATAATTACGTTTAAGGCCATGGAGATTGTGCACTCTATATTATTAAATAAAAAAGAAAAGTTATAAAACTATGCTTAGTTTAAATCAACTATATAAGTGCATGTGTATATTTTTATATTCTTAGTAAAGAATTAGAAGTACTTGTACTTCAACAAATTAACAGTGATTTTCTCTGGGATGTACTATCCGAGATTATTTAAACATACTTATTTGCTTCTTTTTCATTTTCCATTTTTCCACAGTTCACTCATTTAAGTCTTTTATTCATTCACAAATGTTCTTGGAGAGCTTCTTATGTCCCAGGCGGGTGCTGGGTGTAGGTGGTGACTAAGAACAAGAGAGGCAAGGGTCCTACCCCGAGGGAGCTTTCAGAGCGCAGTAAAGGGTAAACAAAAGTAATTAAGCAGACTATAATTTCAGACTGTACTAAGTGCGATGTAACATAGAGTGGTCTGGAAAGTCCCCTCTAAGGAGGTGTTGTGTGTGCGTGCATGTATGTGGGGTGGTGTGGGAGGATAGGGGAGAACATTCCAGCAGTGAGAATGGCATGTGCAAAGGCCCCAGGGGTAGGAAACATTCATCACCTACGTGTAGGATCTATTTCCAGCTTATTTCAGCATTTCTCCAGCAGGTATTCTTACTAAGGACCCTCTATGAGAATCACACTGTGCAAGGCTCTGCGAGGGATAGAAAGATATGCAACCTGTGGTTCTCTGTTCCATTTCCTGTCAGTACGTGGCTGAATGCCAAACCAGTTGCACAGATGGTTTGTGGTATAGGAATGTAGAGGAGACTCAGTTTTGCCTTTCCTGTTCGCTAACACCTCCTTCATGGTGGGTGGTCTTGGGTGGATAGAGAAGACGTGATTACTCGGGTCATGTTCTCAGCTGATAGTGGCAATCTCACACCACAGGTGAGTTTTACAGGCTAATTGTAATGAACCTGATGTGGATGAGGGCTCTTCTGTGAATCTTTCTTAAATGTGTTAGCTGAATTCATTAGCTAAGTGGTGGCTCTCTTCGGTTAAAATATTTGAAGTCAGAGAAATAATGACTACTTTGGGAGCTATTGTCTATTCTACGTCCTCCAATTTAATTTAACAAATATTTGCTGGTTGCGTGCCCACTCTGGTGGATTAAACATATAGTAGGAAGTTTGCCGTTTATTTGGTGGGAGTAAGACAAGTCATGCAGTTATCACAGAAATGGAGAGTCAGAACTGACAAAAGAGGTAAAGACAAAGTGACTCTAGGCTTCAAAGGAGGGAAAGACCATATTCGATTAAAATGGCCTGGGAGGGTTTCCCCCAAGAAATAGGTACTGCAGGCGGTACTTATGGGGTTGATAGGAATTTGCCATGAAGATCCCTTTGGAGGGCGTTCTGAGCGGATGAACAGCATGAGCAAAGGCACAAGGGCTGGTAGCTGGGTGGGTTCAGATCACATCAGCCCCTGTGTTGTGCCGCCTTGGCCGATCTGAGCAAGCAGAGGAGGGGAGGCTGGACAGACAGGCAGAGATCATGTGGCTGGGGATGTGTTATATGTGCAATGGGGAGTTAGTCAAGGCTTCTGAGATCTGAGGGTGATTAATATGGGCAGATGGTTGAATGCCACTGAGGGGAAGACCTAGTGGCCAGGCGGTAAAATCAAAGTCTTCTTTGGCCTCTGTTCTACAGAGTCCTAGAGGCAGCAGAACTGGAAAAAATCCTAATCGGAAGCCAGGAGACTTGAGCGTCCATCCTATTCTGACCTTGTGTAGCTGGGTCTTCTTGGACAGATCATCCAAATTAGCTCATTTTGCCATCAGACCATAATCCCTACCTCAAAGGATTGTGGCAAGTTCAAATGCAGTAACTGATATGATAGCTCTTTTTCAATCAACCTTTTTATTGTTTTTTTCATGACATAGTCTGTGCATATGTCTATCTCAATTTGGTTTACATTTTATCTCTGTTTCTGAAGTACCGATGGCTGCAAGTTCTACGGTTTGCACTTGGATGATTAGTGTATGTTAGACTGTTACCGTTTATGTTTTTAAAAAATTGTTTTTATTTAAATGACCAGTTTGGAGTCCCAACAAAAGAAAACTGGTATCTCATTTTTATATATATATATCTTTCATCTCTCCATGATGCAGGTCAACCCAATCTACCCTCTGAAAAAAGGGAGCTGAGAAAAGTGGCCCATCTAACAGGTCTGTATCTGGGAGGTGCGTGGGTCTTGGGAAAGCCTTTGACAGGTTGGGTACTGTGCTCGGAGGGCGTTGCTACTTTCTGGTGATAGTATTTGACACCCAAGAATAGTCCCATCTTAATAGTCAAGTCAACCTCACACTCAAACTGCACTCCTACTCTAGTCTAGGCCATGTTCTGAACTGGCAAAATGGAGCGGAGTATGAGAGGACCCCTGCCCATGAGGAGCTCACTCTTTTACGTCATTCCAAAGACCCCTAGGGGATTTGGGGCATGGGTTCAAGAGGTGAGATCTAGGGAGGTGGGGAGTGATCAATTATTTTAGTCAGTGCTTTTCTGGTTTTCTGGAAGAGCTTCACTGTGCTTTGTGCAAGAGTAGAAGTAGGAGTGAGAGGAAGGGCCCAGTCCTGGCCCTGGTGGACTTCCTGCATGTGGCCAGGTAGTGAAGTAAAGTCATTTGAGAACAATGTGGTGTGGGCATTCCCAGGGCACAGTCCATAAATATCTGAGAAGCGGACAAGTATCATAGAAAGGGTATGCCACTGCCCTGGAATTATTTAGGCAGAAGCTGTAGAATGATCCTGTCTGGATCACCAGATATTTATTGAACACATGTGTGCCGAGCTCTGGAGACAAGTAGATTAATAATGTGATTCCTGTCTTTGAGGAACTTAAAATCTAATAGGGAGATACAGGTACATAAGTGATCATTTTGGTACTACAGAGTGTTCTCTGCTTAAGGTATGATTATACTGCTGTGGAGACACAAAAGAAAGGGGATTTTAGCCCAAAGTGGAGGTACTGAAGACTTCTTAGTATAGGTAAGGAGTTGGACCAGATGATCCCTAAGGGTTCTTCCCAACTTTATGATTTCCTTGGGTTTAGCTTTTTTCCACCTAGAGAGACCTCAAAACCTAGAAATTTTGGTGTTAGTTCTGAAGATCATACAGTCTGTGTTCCAGAGAACTAAACTAATTTCATTAATGTCTCCTTATAATTGATTAGGATATATATTATTGTCCCAGTTGTGTAGATGACAAAATTAGGGCAAGCAATTCGATAGCGGTGTCGCAGGAATTCAGTGATGGATCGAGTCTGACCCATTAGCCAGTTCCATATGGGCTGTGCCATTTTGGTCCTTTGCTCAAGGAACGGCCCACAGTTTCACCTTAGAAGCTTCGTTTGTTGGGTGCATGAGCAGTCCTGGCTGAAAGCTCCTCTCTGATTTGATTTCAGGCAAGCCCAACTCAAGATCCATCCCTCTGGAATGGGAAGACACATATGGAATTGCCCTTGTCTCTGGGGTGAAGTATAAGAAGGGTGGCCTTGTGATCAATGATACTGGGCTCTACTTTGTGTATTCCAAAGTTTACTTCAGGGGTCAGTCCTGCAACAACCGGCCCCTGAATCACAAGGTCTATTTGAGGAACTCTAAGTATCCCCAGGATCTAGTGCTGATGGAGGGGAAGTTAATGAACTACTGCACTACTGGCCAGATGTGGGCCCGCAGCAGCTACCTGGGGGCAGTATTCAATCTCACCAGTACTGACCATTTATATGTCAATGTGTCTGAACTATCTCTGGTCAGTTTTGAGGAATCTAAGACCTTTTTTGGCTTATATAAGCTCTAAGAAAAGCACTTTGGGATTCTCTCCACATGGTTCCTTATTACAGGCCCTGAAAATATGGTCTTGAATGACAGTCTTCTTAAGCCCACTTGAGATCAAGTGAGAAGACATGAGCCAAGAGTATCTAGAGACCACAGGGTCCAGCAGATCTACCGTTCCTCATCTCATGAGCCAGATGGGAGGGGGAATACGACGGAAGAACATGAGACTTGGGGCTGCCGTGTGAAATGCAGAGGCAGGAAGAAGCAGCCACCAGGGTGTTCTACACTCATTTTAAGTGTCCACAAGCATTTTAGCACATTGAAAAGGACACCTGTTAACTCACCTCTTGGAGTGGGTCTACTATCTACCTCGGGGTGGCTGTCTTTCAGATATGGATGTGACATGAGTGTACAAGGGACGGAAAAAGAGGACTAGGCTTGTGTGATAAGCTAAAGAGACCGAAAGGCCAGTGTCCCATTGGAAGCATGTTAACTTCTGAAGGCAGAGCCTGAGCCACCAGGTGACGCTAACAGAGAAGCAAGGGGGATCTTTGGGGAAGTTGCTCCATTCCTCACGCAGCATGTATATTTCCAGTGCAATTTTAGGTGTGTGTGTGTGTGTGTGTGTGTGTGTGTGTGTGTGTGTGTGTGTGTGCCGCACTCACATGTAGGTGACTAGAAGAGTTACATAAGAAGAGACAATGTGGAACTTGTGAAGGATATGTTAGGAAAACATGGGTTGCATTTAATGGTAGATTTTGAATACCTCTTGGCAACCAACTCAGTTGTCCTTAAAATAGTCCTCAAGACTCTTTGATTGTCACCTGTTGATGCTGTTCTCCTATAATATAACCAGTATTTATACCTGTTGTGTATTTTAATAAAAAGAATAAGTGTAATAAAAATTATATTTTAGAATACAGGCCAACATTATGAATATACTTATTGGAAATCACTAAAATTTGTTTTTTTCCCCCTTATAATTTCTTTCCTCCACGGCTTCTTCACTCCTTTTGCCTTGAGGCCATGTTAAGAAGGACTCACTGGAATGAGCACCGTGAAGCAAATCCATCATTGCCAGACACCCCTCTCCCCAGTCTGTTTCCATTATCCAGAGTTTTTATTGTCTATAGTATTGCCGATGTTAAGCTCACCTAACTTTCAACAGATTTGATGACAACTTTCCCCAGGCTTCCCCGGGAGCAGAGCCATAGCATGGTGGAAAGGGTACAGACTTTGGGCTGAAAAACATGAACTTGAATCTTTGTTCGTCTACTTTCTAAATGCAATCATGGGGTGAGTCCCTTGACTTCTCTTGGACAAAAATGACTGATATGTATATTAAGTATCTGGTCATGGCATCTATCAGTTTAATCAGCCACTCGGTGAGAGGTACTTCTAGCTCCAGAAAAAGCCACTGACCGGAGGCCTCCGTCCAAGCACCCAGTTTCTCAGGTTCTACCGTTCTTCCGTAACAATGACCTTTTCCTAATTTTTTCAACCACTCTCTAACACCCCCTCCCCCTAGACTTTGTCTTTGTTAAAAATTATGGTATTTCCTTTACAATTTGATTTCAGACATCTTATTTTCCTATCATCTCCTATAATTCCAGCTTAATTGCTCCAACATTTTGTCTCCAAAAATGTGTCTATTTTTACCACATGAGACTTCTGATAAACTTGATCATTTCCTTACATATCCATCAGCGCCTTCTTTATCTTCATTCCTCTCTCTGACAAGCTTTGCGTTGTCACTACCCTCTGTCCTTATAATCAGTATCTTGGAAAATTTCTCAATTCCAAAATATTCTGCATCCTTCCCTGTATTCCCCTTGCAAAAATCCCATTTCCTTTGAGCTGGCATCCTATAAGCTGGATTTTAAAAGGCCTAAAAAGACATAGGATGACAGTAAGTCCTGTTTTCAGTCTGTCCCATGACCCTATTCCTGTCCACAGAGACTATCACGGTCTCCTTATGTAGCTTTCCAGAGATGGTCTGTGTGTATGACATCAGTTTACATCTGGGTTTCCCAGCCTTGGTTCCATTGACATTCTGAGCTGGATAACTCTTTGTTGCGGGGTCTGTCCCATGCACTGTTGTATGCTTAGCAATATCTCTGCCTTCTATCCCCTAGATGCTAGCAGCACTGTCCCCTCCTCCGTGTGTGATAACCAAGAATATCTCTAGGCATTGACAGATGTGCCCAGGCTGGGGATGGGGAGACAAAAATCAGCCCTACTGGAGAAACACTGCTTTACATTAGTGATCACAGATCTCAAATGGGCATTCAACACTGCCTACCACTTTTTCCTCAGTTCCCTGCCAACCAGGTTTTTCCACTGTTTGAGACAGTTATGTCATACCTTTTCCTTTTGCAAACCCACCATATCCCCTCCTCCCACTATGGAACCTCACTTAACACTATCAAAACACAAATCTACCCACATCTGCATGATCTCTTTCTTTTATCCTTACAGCGGAAGAGGAGGATCATCTCTTCATTTGTGCATTAGATCCATTTCTAATCCCTACGTGCCCTCATTAAAATTGTCTCTTCCGGGGGTACCTGAGTGGCTCAGTGGGTTAAAGCCTCTGCCTTCAGCTCAGGTCGTGATCTTAGGGTCCTGGGATCGAGCCCCGCATCCGGCTCTCTGCTCAGCAGGGAGCCTGCCCCCCCACCCCGCCTGCCTCTCTGCCTACTTGTGATCTCTCTCTCTGTCAAATAAATAAATAAAATCTTAAAAAAAATTGTCTCTTCCAGATCCTCAAACAATCTCTATGAAATGATTTCCACCAGCATGTACATATGTTCAAATATCCTTTTTCAGTAAAAGACAACCCAGCCCAAACCAAAAAAATCCCAAACCTTTCTTTAACTTTCCTCTTCTCCAGTGATGGATGCATTTCTCATTTTCCTGGTTGAGACGAACATCTGAGAAGGTTGTCGCCACACAGGCTCCATTTCCTCAGCCACGAATGTCTTCTTCAGGGTCCTCACATGGCTGGCTTCTTGTTATCTTTCAGGACTTAGTTCGAAGTCACCACCTCAGATCGTTCTTAGAGCCTCCTCTCTTTGTCATTATTTTATTTCCTTTTAGTTCCTTTTTAGTAACTAGCATAGCATGTGGTTATATTATTTATTTGACCACTTAAAAATATCTGTTTTTCTACTAAAATAAAACAAGACCTTTTCTACTTTGTCTACCACTATATCTTCTTCACCAAATCCAGTGGTTGGCATATATTAGGAGCTCAAAAAATATCTGTTTATTGGATAACCTTAATTATAAAACAGACATTTCTCAGTTTGGGGTATGTGTGTATGTTTCTTGGAATGGTGAATATATTCACTTCTAGTTGTAGGGTTGCCTCATGAATGTATGTGACTGTTTTTTTGTTTTGTTTTGTTTTGTTTTGTTTTTTTTTGCTTTGAGTAGATTATTTAATGGGAATTTGAGGCTACAGGTGGGGAAAAAAAAAAAACAACAACACAGTGCATCCTAATTCTTAGTACTGGAAAATAAGAAAAATCTATTTGGTGTCTGGCATTACCAGGAGTTATTCAGGATACTGTTGAGGGAAACTACTAGGTAACTAGAGCTGAACATGTCACTCAGAAGATACTCAATAAATATTTGTTGGATAAATTAATTAACAAAACCAGAGGTCCCGGCTGGAGAGTGTCACCGGCTCTCCTTAAAACTCTTCTGTTGATTCATCTGTTTCCTGACCAGGTACCTCATGAAGAAAGCCAGGGAGGTATCACTCTACTTTTGGCTGCTTCTCTGTATTCCTACCGTCACAATGAAACTCCTCTTCATCCCTTTTCTCCTCTTTTGGCTCCAACCATCAGGTATACCCATTCTAAGGGTAACGGGAAGTTTTCCAGTCTTTTTAAATCAATGGATCCTTCAAGATAATGACAGCGAAGCAGAGAGAAAGCAAGAATGGCATTGGGCTTCCCGAGATGAGATAAGGCAATCAGCTAGCCGCGGCATTACTGACATTTTTATCTTTCTATGACTGAGCTCTACCAGGATGCCTTTGGGATTTTTTGAAAATAGGGCCATAACTTACTGCAGGAAAGAGATGTTAACCATTCCTTCAGGAACGTTGAGTTATTTTTCTTTACCTCGGTAGGAACATAAAGTATGCCAAAAAATTAAAACTTTTTATTATGTTCAGATAACCACTGTATAGTACATAATTGGTCCTGATGCAACATTCTGTGATTCACTAGTTATGTATAACACCCAGTGCTCGTCACAGCACGTGCTGTCCTCAATACCCATCTTTTTTGATGAACTCATCAAAAATGGGGTCTGCCATTGTTACTTTTGAGATGCTAAACCCAAATTAGAACACTTAAAAAAAGAAGAAGAGGGATAGGATTACTTCTGATTCAGTAGTTTGAGGTTTTCTTTCTTTCCAAACAACCAAAAACACAGAAAACCCATGTTTTTCTTTAGCACCCCCAAGGTGTTGACCTTGTATTCTCTGAAGTCGGTTTGACTTACCACAGCTTACTAGGAAATGAGCTCTACAGGGGACCATCATTATGAGTGTGACTTATTGGAACCAACAGATCACTGGAAGATGGGAATTGGAGAGAGAAGCCTTACTTAGAGCTCTGAGACAAACTGTAAGATTTCCTTAGGGTTAAGCCATAGACAATTCCTTGTCTTTATCTAAAAAGCATGCCATCTCTATGTTAAATTATATTTTTCAAAGGGGCCTGCTTAAGTTCTGGTATTAGTAGAGACAGATTTTTACTTTCTGTAAAAATTTCTGTATTTTCTTATTTGTGTTTTTCCTTTGGATCATGCAGAGGTGGGATGAGGTGGCCCTGGGACATTAGAATCAGAGCCCCATTTTTTAGGGTCTTTAGACTCAGAAACAAACCTTATTCAGAAATATCATAACTGTAGATGGTAACCAGGAAACTCTGGGATTCACCGAAAAGCCAACACGCCTTGGAAATACAGAAAGATAAGTGGATATTCTGCTCCTTACAGTTCACCTGGAACAGGGGGGAATCCATTGCCTCAGTGATGACTTTCTCACTATTGCCAAACCTTCATCCTCATTGGGAGACATTTCTCCACAGTTTGAGCTGTATATCTTCAGGGAGAAGCACAAGGCAGATATCCCTTTTATGCCATTTGGAAGCTCCTTTGGCTCTATGGAGTCACCATTTCTTCTGCTTCTCAGTTGAATAACACAAACCCAATGTCACATTCTGTGGAAAGTCAAGTCTTCTCTTCAGTTTCCTGAAAATTTCAGGAAGTCTCTTCATTCTCTTGGGCAGCCCACATTAGAACAGGCCTCTTAGAAATAATACAAAGCAACCTCTCTTTTAAGACAGAAGTTTTCATTACCACATTTCCAACAGGTGGAACTCCATTTCCAACACATCCTTGATCTGAAAACTTTCTGGATAGGGGCTCAATGAACTGCGATGAAGCCCATATTAGCCTTGCACTATGTTACATCTTAGAAAATTCTTTCTCAGATTTGATTGAAATCCTCCACACTGTAACTTCCACACGCGGAATATAGTTCTTTTCTGCTTAATATTGCTGCAGTATTTTATAGGTTGTAAATCCTTCTCATACACCTTATCTTGTTTAATTTCCATTACACCCTCGGAAGATAGATTGTTGTCTTCATAGCATAAAAACAGCTGAGACACTGAAAACTTGTGAGTCTTGCTTAAAGAGACATAGCTAATAAGTGGCGGAGCTGGGACTAAACCCTAGTCATCTAACTAGGCATTTTCTGTTCTGTCCATGTGCAGAGAATTCTTAGCATTGCCCCTTGTATGATGGCACTCACCATGAGCCTCACCCCCCTTAATTTTCAGTGATTTCTCATCTCTTTGCATTTTAGTTTAAACCTCACTTTGATAAATGCCTGC